CAAACCTTTCGGTGTTGTGTCTGCACACTGTCTAATATACATATGCAGGATTTAGCTAGGGGGTTTTATATTGTATATATAAAGGGCTAGCTAAATATACCCTAAAGGTGTCGGGCTCATATATATATATATATATCTCTCTCTCTCTCTATGTATGTATGTATGTATGTATATATATATATATGCACACACACACACACACACCAAGCCCTATTTCGGCTTTGGGGTTTAGGTGGGAACCCTAAACCCAACGGCGTCGGATTCCACGGCCCTGCAAAGCATCCCCTAGTAACGCCAGCTTCAAAGTCGGTTTAGGGGTTGGGAGTTTAGGGTTTAAGGTTTAGGGTTTAAGGTTTAGGGTCCAGGATTTTTGAGGCTTAGGGTTTAGGGTTTAGGCTCCTCCCACCCTTGTGTTGAGAGTTTCAACCCATGAGTTTGGAAGCCCTTTGCCTTAACCTCTCCGTAAACCTAACGCTCCATGTGCACAATAGGCCGGGCCTTCAAAATCCTGCCGTAGCTTTTGGTGAACCACGTAGTCTGTAGCAGCTTAAGGGCAATCGCACAGCTTCCTTCCCTCAGGGATCAACCGCACTAAAAAGAAGACTACATCGATACCCGCACACCGAATACTCAAAAGCTCGCAACTCTGAACTCTAGTAACTCTAGTAAAAATCCTTATCAGAACCCTGATCGCACCCTTTAGTAAAACACGGGGGAAAAAAAGCAAAAACCCTAAAACCCCTAAACCCTCAACCCAAAGGCCCTGAACCGTTTAGAGCCCTTAAAGGTCTCAGCCAAGATGGGACCCTCCCCCCGCTCTGCCGGTCCCTTGAGCCGGGCCCCAGAAGCTTGCAAACGTCAAGCACGGTGCGTGGCGGCAGCACGAGCCTGGGCTTTGGGATTTCAGGGTTTAGGGGTTTTAAGGTTCTTAGCGGTTTAGGGTTTCTAGGGTTAGGGTTTAGTTAGGATTTGGGGGTTTAGGGCTTTGAGGGTTTAGGGTCTAGGGGTTTAAGGTTTATGGTTGAGGGATGTTGAGGGATTAAACTTGACGGTCTTACGGCTTACAGGCTTTGTGGTCGTAGGGGTTGAGGGTCTCAAGGTTTTGGGGTCTCGAGGCTTCGGGTTTGGACTCTAACGGCCCATAAAACCTCGTATGGTTTAGGGTCTTCGGGTTTGGGGCTTGTGCAGGTTTGGGACTTTGAGTCTTGAGTTTCGGGTGCATGTTGCAACCAGCCAGCTTTCGACCACACAACGACAGTGCTCTTGACGAGCAAATACTCGTATGTAAGACTGCATCGCATCGCCAATGACTTTTGGAAGATCGTCCTGGCTCTGAAGCATGCTAAGGGGTGTCAGCATTCGGGTTGAGGGGCTTGCAAGTTTTTGGACTTAGGGTGCCAGATACGAAACTTGGCGCCGGCGTGTCCCATCTTGCCGACAGCACTTCGGCGGCGAGTCTTTCAAAAGGCTTTGTTGGTGAACTGGCAGGTGTGTACTTTCAAAGTTGAGGTGCTCCACGCCAAACGCATGATTTGCGCCATCAGCGGCCCTCAATCGGGGTGCTGCCACAAGGAGCTCATTCCGTGTTCGACTACTGCGCCGGGCGGAAGGTCAATAGGTGGGCACAGCAATTTTGCGGTACTTTCAGCCAGGCGGAACAGATGCCTTCATAAACCATGCGCGGTCAAAGAACCATGAAATCCTAAACGCGCAGCAGTCAAGATTAGGGTGGAGACCTCGTGGGGGGCGGGACACACAGTTCAGGGCACGTGGCTTCGAGAACTCGTTGAGACACCCTATACCTTCAAACCGAAACGCAAATTCTGAAAGAACGATTGAACCCTAAACCTTGAGCTCCATACCTTCAACCCTACACCCAAGTTCTGAAGGCCACAGAAGCAAACTGGAAGCGAGGTGGAGCCAAGTAGGACCAGAGGTTGCGGGCGGATTCTTTCGTACCGGACTATCAGCATATACGTTTTACTACAGAAAGACCGAAATGCCAAAGGCCCTAAACCCTAAACCCCAAACCCAAAACCCTAAATTAAAGCCCAAACCCAAACCCCTAAACCAATACCCAAAACCAAGTCTCCAATATTAGCGTGGGCGGACCGAGCCTGAGGTCCCTCCTGCAATTTATCCCCAAACTCACCCTGTGCTTTGGGTTTAGGGATTAGGGTTTAGGGTTTAGGGTTTAGGGTGTGTTTTTTTAGGTGCAGGGCGCGGTTTCTTCGTGTTGCAGCAGCAGCAGCAAGAGGTCAAGAGCACTCCCCAACAAGTGATTGCACAAAGAGAACAACACAGACACACACACACACACACTCAGAAGTTACCAGTCAGCAACATCAGGTAGTTCAGTGATTTCTGGTTGTCCTTCACATCCTCCATCCAAACTCAATGCATTCTCCTGTACTCCAACACCGCCACCAGGACCCCACATTCATCACCCTCATCAAGTCCAGCAACCACAGCAGCACCTTGGACCATCTCGCGATCATCCCCAAGTGCACTATACGGTGCCCGTGTTGTGGGAGGCATACATGAGGAACAAGATCACGACTAGGGGGAGAAGGCAACATCCACCTCTTCAGTGACAAGGTTGACGTAGACGGGGAAGCCGAAAGCTTGAAAGAGCAGCAACCGAATTGCAAGGAGAGACAACATCCTCCCCGGTAGAGCCACAGTTTGGGATTCGGGTTTTAGGATTTAGGGTTTAGAGCACAGGGTGGCTACTCCCGAGCTTTAAGCTCTCAATCCGCCACCCGAACGACCCTGAGGAAGCAATCTAAGACAAAAGCCCTGAATTATTCATACCCTAAATCCCACCTATATCAACCGTAGCCTCGTTTAAAGCAGGCAAACCAGGCTCTACTAAGTCAAACTGGGTTTCTTGAGTACGGCGGTTGTCAGAACTTTACCCAGATATGTAAACTTAGGTGATGTTGCGCACGGCGAACCTATCCCATGAATTCTCAAACACACGGTACATCGAAGATCCATCTCGAGACCCTGAAACACAAAAAGTAGGATGATATTACTTGTGCTTGGTGCACCGGAGGCTTCTCATGGCTTATCTCAAGACCTCAGCAACACATGAAAAGCTGAGGATGATGTTGATGAAAATTCATCGAAATTCAAGACGATGCTATGTTTCCCTGAGCCCCTAATGAAGTTAATCGTAAACTAACTTCAATTCTGCTCCCAGTATAACAAGCAGCACAAACGCAATGACCGGAAAGCTCTCTCCTGTCGTGGCGTTTTGGCACAGGTTGTGCAGTTTTGCGCTTAGAATCTTGAGATACTGTTCATACTGGGATACAGGCTTCAGGGTTCTAGCATTTATGGCGACTGTGCTTTGCTTTAGGGTTTAGTTCCTTGACAAAACCCCGCACTACACCACGGATTTGTTGGTACATTTCTACATGTTTCATGAGGTGTTTCTTAGGCTGCTTGCAGACTGCAGGCGTGTGTGTTGGGGAATCGAAAGTACGGCTGTTATACGCCTAAACCCTAACCCGTACATCTTTCCCAATGGCTTCTGACGCGTAGGCTTTAGGAAGACCGCAACAACAGCAAGAACAAGAGGGGGGACGGTGTAACAAGTTACCCAGTGTGTGCCTACAGACATTCATCACCTAACCTTGGGTGACAACCAACCATTGCAACAACAACAACAAAGGTAATGACAATAGTAACAGTAGCAACAGTAAGAATGATAAGAAGAAGACTCAGAATAACAAAAAGCAGTGCCAGCACGATTAAGACTACTGTTATTGCTAACACTAACAGTCACCAACAAATAACAGTACGTAGTAACAGTCTTATTGAATATTAAAAAATGATACCAGTAATGCAACTAGTGTAAACTACTGGACAACAACAGCAACAGCAACAACCAATGCAAAACCACCACCACCACCGCCACCAACACCACCGCCACGACCACCACCGCCAACAACAACAACAGCAACAACAACAACAACAACAACAGCTGCAACACCACCACCACCACCACCAACAACAACAACAACAACACCAACAACAACAACAACAACAACAACAACAACAACCACCACCACCACGACGACGACGACAACCACAACAAAAACAACAACAACACCAACAACAACACCAACACCAACACCCACGCCAACACCAACACCAACAGCAACAGCAACAGCAACAGCAACAGCAACAGCAACAGCAGCAGCAGCAGCAGCAGCAGCAGCTGCAGCAACAACAGCAACAGCAACAGCAACAGCGATAACAACCACGACGACGACGACGAAAACGACGACAACAGCAACCGGCCTAAGATTCGGGTAGTTTAGTTTAGGTGGTCGAACAGGTTTTGACAATAGTCGAGACGAGTAGCTCATGCAGACAAAAACAAGTAGATGTACAAATACTGCTGAACCAACAACAAACAACAACATTTCATTCGCACGCAGCGGGAGACGAT